CATGAATTCACCAGATGAGTATATTTAATATTTTCTCAAAAAGCCACACACAAATATCTGCATTTTATTCCAGCATTACACTCACTGTTTTTTTATTTTTTATTTTATTTTATTTTATTTTACCTTTGTTTCTTTTGAATTTTTGACTAAACCTGTTTTCCATCGTATAACTGAGAATGACTGGGAGGAGGACAGCTGTGTTCTCTGTACATCTCAGACCCCCTAGTGGCAACTCTTAACCTCTTAAGAGTCCTCTGGAGCAGTCTTAACTTTTCATGAGAGTAAGAGTGATTCTTAGACTTAAGAATTTTGATAACTGGCACTTACACTTAAATCTGAGAGTCGGAACAAATCTTAAGAAATTTTCAGCACTTAAGTCTAAAAATCCACTCTAAGAAGTTTGATAAATACGGGCCCTGATTTGTCGGTAGTTCTTTCTCTCATTGCAGCTTCAAGAGATCTTCCGTAAGAAAAACGAGAAAAAAGGAAGGAAAGGAGATGCGGAGAAGTCAGCACAGTTGGTAAGAAAGTTCATTATCAAAGTCAAAGATATTATTTGAATGAAGACTCCTGATCATCTTTGTGCAACCGTGAACACCCTATCTGCAGGGATATTTACTTTAATAATAGTTTTGCACCATTAAGGTAAACTTTGAGGTGTCTCAGCTGATTTTAATGACAGTAACAGTAATAAGAAAACATAAATGTACGTATATGAGTATAAAGTCTTACAAAACTTGTTTTCTTTTAAAGTTACTCAGACTCAAGTGTTGTGTTTTTCTAGATGCACTGAAAATGATAAATCAATAATTTTGATTCTCATGTGTGGTGAAGGAGGTATAAAAGTGAACTCAGTGGTCTGTGTGACAGGTTTCAGGGCACCCAGGTTCATGGAAGCTGTTTTTGACCATGTGGTAACTTCTCTATTAGTGCTGTGGCACTTATTCCTGCTGTGTGCTTCTTTCTTTATTTGATATGTTTTGAAAATGTGTCTGTCTCTGCAGTTCTCTGATTGAAGTGTAGAGGCAATGAGAAACTTTGCATTACATCACGCTCTCGTCTCTGTAAACTGCCAAGTGCAGCTTTCAGCTGCTTAATAATTCATCGAGATTGCATTTAGAATTAGAGCAGCCAATAAATCAGCAATGAAATGTCACAGATGAACAGTAAAAGTAAAAAATAAAGATAAAGAAGCACACTTTCATTTAATTATTTTCAAGTAAAATAAAAAAATGAAAAAACTGTACACCCTCACATTACTTTATGTTACAGTAAAAGCAAAGTCAAAATGCATAACTAGTTTGTGTAAGCTACATCAATTTAAATCTTTATCTGCCTGTAGCAGTAATAGCTGTAGGAGTGAATATTGAGTGCGTGCAGTTAAAGCTAAGGATCAGATTAACTACAGGCAAGGAGCGCTGAGGGAATCAGTGGTCAATGATATGAGAGAGAGACAAACTGAAAACATGGAACTATGACTGAACCTATAACTGTTTGGTTGGTTTATTTCAAACATGTTAATTATATACTGTACAAACAATGGGCCTCATGCAAGAACCGTTCGTACGCACAGATTTGTTCTTAAATTGTGCGTACG